TTTGAAAAGTGACAAAGCGATCTTCCTCGAACACAAACGAATTAGCTAACACTTCTTGAGTATTGTTATTGATGTTTGAATACACAGAATCATAAATATTAAAGATACCTTCCTCATTGGCCATATTAGATGCTAGTATCCAATGATTTCTTCGGCAGTGTACAATCTGGAGTCCATGCTTGATTTTACGGTCAGCTGATTTTCGTTTAAACTGATACAGACTGCAACAAAGACCTGCTACTTGAAATTGATTCTTAAGAATAGTCTGAGCAAAATTTATGTCGTTATCATGCAACATGCTCCCATCTGTAAGTTTTGTTTTGTCAAGAAGTGTGAGACAATAACCACAATAAGAAAGCCAGACTTCACTTGTTTCAGAAACAAAAATAGGTTGGTGATTCCATTTCTTCATTCTTGAATTTCTTTGATACTGGCTTAGTAATGTTACTTTTTACTGATTGATGTGCAGGACATTTTTCAAGGAGAACTTTTACTTTTTCCAGCTGTTGTGAGGATGAACTTGTAAAATATAATTCACATGGCAACTCTAGGCCACCTTGTGGAAGGTCGACTGAGTATTGCCTGTGTCTAGTTACCCAACATTTAAGTGTGCCTCCCTGTGCAATAAAGATGTTACATAGCGAGGATATGACCCTTGGAACATGACCGACGATGATGTTTTCACGAGTCTTCATTGAAACAGTGGATGGGTCTACACATTACTGGGCTCTCTAAAATAGGTCAGCAGTTCTTCTGTTGGTTCCCTGACGTCTTTATATACTATGTCCCAACTGAGTTTGACAGCACTAAACCCTTTTCTAGCAGCCACACTCTCTTCCCACTCATCTAAGTAGGGAAGAAATACTTCTTCCAACCACTAAAAATTTGAAATGAAAAACAAGCATGTAACCATGTAACTACATGTATAATTATTCACTTTTAATCTTTCATCATGTCCATTTCTATATGGGTGTGAAAAAGGTTTTCTCTTTCTTGCTCCACCAGAAAAACTCCGAACATTCAAAAGATCAAAAAATTTATCAAAATGAGAGCAAAGCGAGATGTTTCATGTACTTCAGGACCACCGGTCCAGCACAGTGCTTTACCAACTGATTCACTTAAAACCTGAATAAACAATAATAATTTATGCACAGTAAAATTAAATAAATTATTATTCTTGAGCAGCTAGGTCCACTTGCATTTTGGAAAAGGAAGTTAATTTCAGATGTTCATACTTTAACTTAGGAATCATAGACACACCACGTCCCCTTCCTTTATCTCTGTCATATAAATCTTCTAAGTGATTCCATGAAATAGTGTGACCATTGATCTATGAATTAAGCAAGCATATAACATGTCATGTTATTTTACAGTTAAATAACTTTTAGAATGGCCATGTATGTAACTAACCCAAAGCAAACGGCATTTAGAACTCTAACAATTCCTGACAGTCTTGATAAGGTGAGGAGGGTCTGAGAAAAAATAAATAAACCTCTGCTCTGCAGCATAAATATTTGGAACACGATAAACTTATTTATCTGATGAATCATGAATCTTTACAAAATGACGGTTTGCAGATGCTCCATCAAAGGTACATCCTAAAACCTAAAATGAATGATTTCCATTAAATTTAGGTCTGCAATAATTATTTTTATTGTGCATGTATGGTTGCACAAAATTTAAACTTAAAGATGTATGGCTACATGTACATACCTTAAATCCAATGTTTTCAAGGCGAAAAACTGATTCCCAGAATGGATTAAAAAGAAGTTCACCAGCTATTGATGCACACGGAAACTGTGCATAAACGAAGCGAAATGGATGAAACAACTTTTTCACCATAAATACTAATATTGAGTTTGCGACATCTGGTGAGTTATAATCCTCTTTGCCACGTACAGCTTGTTCAAACATCAGTAAGTGGTTGTTAACCTCACCCAGGTCGACAAAACCAACCATCTTCCCATCATGCTTGTTGTAGACTAAGCTATCCTTTACATGCATTTCATCCATCAATATAACAACAAAACTGTGCCAGGCTGGTAATGTCTTTAACTGAGCAGCTGCACGTAATTAACCATCAACTTCATCACAGAAACCAGTACTGGATTGAAAGCAATGTG